ACATTGCCCCCCTATCCACCCTGTCATACGCCTTTTCCAAATCCATAAATGCCACAAAGACCTCTTTAGCCTTATCTAAATACTGTTCAACTTATATGTTTCACTGTAAACACCTGGTCCACACACCCTCTACCTTTTCCTAAAGCCTCCTTGTTCATCTGCTATCCTATTCTCCGTCTTACTCTTAATTCTTTCAATAATAACTCTACCATACACTTTACCAGGTATACTCAGCAGACTTATCCCCCTATAGTTTTTTGCACTCTCTTTTATCCCCCTTTGCCTTTATACAAAGGAACTATGCATGCTCTCTGCCAATCCCTAGGTACCTTACCCCTTTCCATACATTTATTAAATAATTGCACCAACCACTCCAAAACTATATCCCCACCCTGCTTTTATACATTTCTATCTTTATCCCATCAATCCCGGCTGCCTTACCCCTTTCATTTTACCTACTGCCTCACGAACTTCCCCCACACTCACAACTGGCTCTTCCTCACTCCTACAAGATGTTATTCCTCCTTGTCCTATACCCCGAAATCACAGCTTCCCTATCTTCATAAAACATTTAACAATTCCCAAAAATATTCCCCTCCATCTTCCCAATACCTCTAACTCTCCATTTAATAACCCCTCTCTTCCTATTTTTACTGACCAAATCCATTTTTTCTGTAGGCTTCTTAACTTGTTAACTCACCCCAAAACTTTTTCTTATTTCAACAAATTGTTATAACATCTCACCCTCTCTCATTTGCTTTTTTTACATTTTCTTCACCACTCTCTTAACCTCTCCCTTCTTTTTCTCATATACTCTTCCCCCCTTGGGAAATACTTCTACTTGTAAAAACTTCTCAATGCTAACTTTTTTCTCCTTACTAATCTCTTTACATCATCATTCCACAATCGCTCCTCTTCCTTTCCCCCACCCATTTCCTTAAAACCAAAACTTCTGCTGAACACTTTTAACAATACATTTTTAAACCCCTACCCCCTACCTCTTCGACCCCTTTGGGCCTATGCTCTCATTAGCCATCTATCCTCCAATAGCTGTTTATCTTACCCTAACTGCCTCCTCTTTTAGTTTATAAAACCTTCACCTCTCTCTTCCCTGATACTTCTATTTCCTTGTATCCCATCTACCTTTTACTCTGTGTAGCTACAACTAGAAAGTGATCTGATATATCTGTGGCCCCTCTATAAACATGTACAATCCTGAAGTCTACTCAACAGTCTTTTATCTACTAATACATAATCCAACAAACTGCTGTCATTTCGTCCTAATCATATCTTGTATACTTATTTATCCTCTTTTTCTTAAAATATGTATTACCTATAACTAAACCCCTTTCTATACAAAGTTCAATCAAAGGGCTCCCATTATCATTTACACCTGGCACCCCAAACTTACCTACCACACCCTCTCTAAAAGTTTTCTCCTACTTTAGCATTCAGGTCCCCTACCACAATTACTCTCTCACTTGGTTCAAAGGCTCCTATACATTCACTTAACATCTCCCAAAATCTCTCTCTCTCTCCTCCAGGTGCATACACGCTTATTATGACCCACTTCTCGCATCCAACCTTTACTTTAATCCACATAATTCCCTTTAATTTACACATTCAATTCTCTTTTCTCCTTCCATAACTGATCATTCAACATTACTGCTACCCCTTCCTTTGCTCTAACTCTCTCAGATACTCCAGATTTAATCCCATTTATTTCCCCCCACTGAAACTCCCCTACCCCCTTCAGCTTTGTTTCGCTTAGGGCCAGGACATCCAACTTCTTTTCATTCATAACATCAGCAATCATCTGTTTCTTGTCATCCGCACTACATCCACGCACATTTAAGCATCCCAGTTTTATAAAGTTTTTCTTTTTCTCATTTTTAGTAAATGTCTACAGGAGAAGGGGTTACTAGCCCATTGCTCCCGGCATTTTAGTCGCCTCATACGACACGCATGGCTTACGGAGGAAAGATTCTTTTCCACTTCCCCATGGACAATAGAAGAAATAAAGAAGAACAAGAGCTATTTAGAAAAAGGAGAAAAACCTAGATGTATGTATATATATATATGCATGTGCGTGTCTGTGAAGTGTGACCAAAGTGTAAGTAGGAGTAGCAAGATATCCCTGTTTCTAGCATGTTTATGAGACAGAAAAAGAAAACAGCAATCCTACCATCATGCAAAACAGTTACAGGTTTCTGTTTCACAGTCATCTGGCAGGACGGTAGTACTTCCCTGGGTGGTTGCTGTCTACCAACCTACTACCTACGAATATAAATTCATACGAACACAACTAAAAGAATCTAGAGACTGCCAATAAAGACATGAAGAGAAACTAAACAAGAACAAAAGGAGTGAAACATTAATGCAGTAAACCTGGATTTTCAAACATGTACCTAGCAGCATGACATGCATCCTCAGGTATTTGAAAAAAAGGTTGGAACTGCTTTGCTGCAAGAATATTTTATGATTCTGTGCACTTGTTTCACCATATTTGGATGGGAAAAAGAAAAGGCAGGTTGATTATTTCAACATTCTTTATATGGAAAAAGTATAGTATTACAAAAATTTCTTCTTATATCAAAATCAAGTTTCAAAACAGGTAAATAACATGTAAAAAGAGAGAATAGATTTCTCAAAATTCAATCAGAATTCAATATCACCAATTATTAGTAGCAATACCAAATAACAGCAAATCATATAATGGGTACTCTATTATAAATACACTAACCAATTCAAAACTTTTCACATTAATTTTTTTATCAAATCATGTACCAATTGAAATACACAAGTTTGTGAAATGTTTTGTTTTCCATTTCAGCATAATGTTAATATCACTTCACCTCCCATTATGAGAACCTAAACATTTGTTTATTAACATTCCTGGTACATCCCATTTACTATTTTTAACATGCACAACCAAAATTTTGTATTTAACATTATACAGTGGTGCCACACTGAGCATCCTTGTCCATTGGCAGTAATATCTTACAATTAACAAAAAATCACAATATTTACCTTCAGTGAGTTGCATGACAAATTTAAAGCAAAATATATTACTGTATTCCAAATTATTACATATTTAACCCTTAAACTGTTCAAACGTAGATCTACGTTCACTCGCGTAGCGCTCTGAACGTAGATCTACTTTTTTTTACATTCTGTCTTATGGGGAAAATCAAAGTCGGAGCGCTATGCGTAAAAACATAGATCTACGTTTGGACAGTTTAAGGGTTAAATGTACAATTGTAATACATGTGTAGAATTTTGCTAAACTATGCTGTATATATATTTTTATTTAGTAAATTTACAAAAAACTGATCATATATCTGATGTACTGTATTACATATTCCAGTTATAGAAACCTGTGGTAGCATCTTCTCTCTCTATAATAAATAACTACTGTATGATAAAAAAAATTGATCAGATAAAACTACTAAAAATGTTCTGACTACAATAATAATGGAAGATCTGGCAAAATTATCCCAACATGAATATCAAAATATAAACCCAAGATCAAGCAGTATCCCAGCACCTATTCCAAAACAAAGTACATACTGTACTACATATATTAAAAAGCACAGTGAATGCTTGATTATCTGACCTTCAGGCTTTAGAAACTGTGGTTAACCAACCAGCTTTCATTTTGGATAATTATCCCTTGTTCTTTCAAACACCAACCAGATGAACAATTGTACTGTAGTTAAAGTTATCCAGGTCTGTGGCCAGGTATGAGAAAAAAAAAAAATAGGAGTGAATGGAGACGAATGGTATTTGGGACCTGACGATCTGTTGAAGTGTGAGCAGGATAATATTTAGTGAAGGGATTCAGGGAAACCGGTTATTTTTATATAGCCGGACTTGAGTCCTGGAAATGGGAAGTACAATGCCTGCACTCTAAAGGAGGGGTTTTGGGATATTAGCAGTTTGGAGGGATATGTTGTCTCTTCATACGTATATGCTTCTAAACTGTTGTGTTCTGAGCACCTCTGCAAAAACAGTGATTATGTGTGAGTGAGGTGAAAGTGTTGAATGATGATGAAAGTCTCCCGTCTCCCACCCTGCCTCGGTGGGAGACGGCCGACTTATTAAAAAAAAAAATATACACATACACACACACAAACACACACTAAAATGAGTTTACGTCAGTTAATATTAGCAAACAAGTACACATTTAATGCAAGAAGAGTACCAACCACTGATTGGTAAGGAAACACAGGGTTAAAGGCAAAAAGGTCAGGTAAATGCAGAATACACTGTACTTTACTCTTAACATCACTAAGGACCTGAACCACTGTCAGTGGTATAGTAATATGAAATATCAATTATAAGTAAACATATATAATCTGGCTACTTGTCTATATATACTGCACTATTTTCTGCATTACCAAGACAAAGAAAGCTCCTCAGTTTTCTTTGTGAACATAGGATCACCTTGTTACCCAAATTTGTCAAATAATTTCAAAGAAAAAAAATACAATATTTACAAATTTTTTAAGGTGTTCAAAATGTTCAGACAATTTTACATTGTCATAGTTATGTAGTATAATAAAATGGACATTTTGTTAGCCCTATAGTTAGTTACAGGTAGATATGTTTATTTGTAAATTATTGTACTGTACATTTATAATAGTTCTCTAAATTAGGCTTACAGGTATTATTTTTGTAGACTAAGAACATCTACATCAGGATAAATTTTACATGGATTAAGCTCTGCATTTTGAGCAAGAATACTGTAGGGAGTTGTAGAGGATGAAGGGTGGTAGGCTGGCAAGAGGGAGTTAGTGTGGATCTTCGAACAAACTTGAGAAAGGGTGGTGAGGAGGAGGGAAAATAAATACTTGAACCTTTAGTAGCGTAATCCTTGTTGCAGTTTTATGTATTTAGGCAACAAGAATTCTCAAATAAATGTTAACATTATAACAAGCAGTACCATATCAGTACCTCAACATCAAATATATTTTTGGGGGGAAATAACACTTTGTAAAGAATCTTAATAAAATCTTGAAACTTTATTCGCGAAACAGTTAACAGGGTATATTCTTAAAACAGAACATCACATCCCATGACAGGTACACTCATGGGGAGGTAAAATACAAAATCTTTTAAGTCTAGTGACATCCATGAAGTTCTGGTGAGGGTTAAGGCACATGAACCTTGTGAAGCAACCAAATTAATGACTGCAATCATGTGATGGGATTTGTGTACACAATTTTATACTTACATATTAAATAAGGTACTGTATATATCTATTATTTTATGAGAAACTCTCTCCCAGACACTCGACTGCATCTACTACTGAAGGAGGAAACTTTAATAAATTAATACTGAAACAGCAATAGAGAATTACAACATATACCATGAAACAATTTAAAATCTTAGTAAATAAATCACAGAAAGGGTGGAGCTTGAACCTATGGCAAGTGAATCCTAAAACTCGTTCTGTGATTTGTTTGCAATCGTGTTATGATCTTACGAGTCTTAGTAAGCGATTCCAATACAATTCATTTCTTTTTCAGGAGAGGCAAAATATTTTTATCACAACAGGATGCTTCAAAAAAATATTGTTGTGTGTGAAACATGTCCAAGTAATATAAAGACTTTAGACAATCATACAAATTTAATACAAACAGTTTAGCTATTTGATAAAAAATTACATAGCACATGGATTAAAAACTAGTTTCCAAAATATATCTCGTTACCTCCTAGTACAAACTATTCTTCAAATATATTAACTGATGTACTATTAGAATGAAGTAAAAAAAATCATTCACAAAATAAATATTTCACTGTATAAAGTGATAGTGCAATCATAAACCAGGTATTGTATTAACTCATCATTCTTGCTTAATAAATACTCCCAATGGACAGAACTAATAATATGAAGATATTCTGCACGTATTTGTAGATGTTAGAGTTCAATCTCCTTTGGTCTTGTCTTGAAGTAAACTAGAAGGGCAATGACAATAAACAATCCCACAAACACTGGAAGGGCAACAGTGAAGGCCTTCTCCTTATTTTCCATAAATTCTTTCTTTCGTTCCTTCTTCTCCTTGGCTGTTTCTTTCACTTTTCCTTTTAACTGACGCATCCTGGGTGTATTAGCCAAGCTGGAGTAATGGTATAATAATAAGTTTCAGGAAAAATGCAGAAAAAATAAACACACATACACAATATGCCCAACAGTGAATAGCACACACTACCAACACCCAAAAATATAAAAATAATTTGAATTACAATACCAAAATCACAATGAAAGTTAGTAATGATTTTGTTTGCAGTACATTATATGACAATTCATCGTTAAGAGGGCTTCTAAAAAGTGGAGGAAGATCTGCTGCTATTTATGACCAAGAGACTCCAAGAGGAGAAAATATAATGGAGAACAAGAAGACATTTTTTGTGGCAGTAAAATGCTGGACAAGACTGCCTGGTGGATAAGAAGGGCACACAAGTACACAGTGTGTGTATATCATTATATATTATAGTAGGCTGGTAGACAGCAGTCGCCCAGGGACGTACTACCATCCTGCCAAATGCATGTGAAACAGAAACCTGTAATTGTATTACACAATGGTAGGATTGCTGGTGTCTTTTCTTGGTTTTATAAACATACAAGAAAACATGTATGTCTTGCTACTTCTACTTGCACGTAGGCACACTACATACACGTATATGTATATACACCCATATGAATTTTATTCTATTTTCTAAAAAGTTCTTTTTCTTATCTACTTCCTTTCATCTCTATGGTAAAGTGGAAAAGAATCTTTCCTCTGTAAACCATGCGTGTTGTAAGAGGCGACTATGGTGCCAGGAGCAATGGGCTAGTAGCTCCTTCTCTTGTATACATTACTAAAAAATAAGAAGAAAAACTTTATAAAGCTTAAGTAATGGAGTGAGTGATAATGAAAGTTTCCTTTTTTTTCAGTCACCCTGCCTCAGTGGGAAACAGCTGATGTGTTGTTAAAAAAATATTCATGAAAGTAGGGGGGGGGGGAGGAACAAGGTGTTGACAAGGGTTGGTAGTGCACTCAGCTCACACACAGGTCTGTGGTTTGATTCACTGGTATAGGTGGAAACATTTAGGTGTGTTTCCTTAAGATATCTGTTGTCTCTATTCCCCAAAGCAGTAAATAGGTACCTAGGTCTTAGCCAACTGGTGTGGGTCACAGCCTTGGGACAAAATGAACCAAAATGCTCTTCATAACAAGGGGTGGGCTTTCCATAGAGTATGCCATCGATGTGTCACCTAGATCTGTATAAGTTTTATCATATACTTGTAGAAATAAAGATTATATATTATTTTTATATATATTATTATTATTATTATTATTATTATAGGACAGAAGTTAGGAACATTGAAATTGGAATAAAGTAAGCCAAATTTGCAGCTAGTACAATAAGGCCTCTCTGAAACACTGAAAAGTTTATTTTCCTTGGACCTACATAGTACTGTTATACAAGACATATATTACTCTTGTCATACATGGATATGCTCATCCTTATGCAATATACTGTTCCCATTGTCTACACAAATTACTGTACAGTATTTAATGTATAATACGTATACTAAATATGTACACTACACTCATGGGAGTCACAAAGTGCCTGGGGAATGGGAGTCCATCAGGTTCAGTCCAAAGAACCTCCCTTGAGGGTGTCCCTTATATAAAGCTTTCAGCATAAGCTGACACTCAAAGGAGCCATCCACTGAGAGGTGTATTTCTCAACGAATATACGCTGAGCTTTCTTTCAATCCTCATTTTATGGATCAAAGTACTCTTGTCTGGTGGTAAACGGTTATGCAAGCCAATTATAATCATCCAAAGCTGGGCAAATAAGTCATTTTAACTTTTTTGGGGGTTATCCTAGGTAATTTACACTATGTATGGTAATTGTGCTTACGTGTACCTGTGCCTAAATAAACTTACTAACAGGTTACGTGGAGCCTTATTGACCCTAGTATAGTCAGTAGGTTGTAGGAAGTAACTTTATTGAGGCACAGGTATACACAAGTACAATTATCATACATATTGTCAAATTACCTAAACCCAAAAACAGGTAATGACAGTGACTTGTCTATGGGGGTCCTTCCCTAATTTCCATTAACCAGAGTCATTACATTATAACATTAATCCTCTTATGCGAAGTTGTTTCGAAGCAACAATAAGTTAACCCTCGACCAAACCTTATAAACTGTCATATAGACCACAGTAGAGTATTAAATATATTTTAAACTGACTGGGAAGCTGCAGCCACTAACAGAACACACGTATTTCCAACAAATACTAGCTTAAGTACACAATAACAAAGCTAACAGAACACAGAGTCAACACCACAGATTTTGTGCTAAATTACCACAAAAACTCCCACTCAAGGCTTGAAAAATACCAAGAAGAACGAAGGAATTATGGAAGTGTGTAGCTGTGAGCAGCTGTGACGGTGTTTACATGCAAGTGTCAGCTTCCAGGCGACGTGGTCTACACCCTCAATACAAACTCTTATATATCATTTATTACAACAAAATAAATAGTAAAATTTGTTTTTTCTGTCGTTTGTCTTAGCTATAAGTTGTCTGGAAAACTACACAGCCGTGCCTGTGCATTTAGCCATATTTTTATGTTGAAAAATATGTTAGATGATTACAGTGACCCTAATAGGTTAATAAGTTACACTCATTTTATTGGATTATATTTGGTTAAATTCTACATATTGTACTATAGAAAACCATAGGAAAAAATATAATATTATATACGAGGCCTTAACTAATGTTCAACAAATGTCAGTATATTAATTACTTAATTTGCTATAATTAATCTGAATAAATTTGAATAAATAATTATACTTTTCCTGCTGCTAATGTGTATAAATAAAATCCCGAAAACTAATGTTACTTTCGAAAAATTATCTCGTACAATATCACTCTCGGGGAAAAAAAGTATATACGCTTGTAGTAACGAAGACTAGCCAATCAAAATTATCATTCAAGGTGGTGTGTGGTGAATCAGAGCTGTGATTGGTGGAGAAGGAATGATAGTGGAGGGACGGGAGAGCAACATGTAAACAGACATCCGCTATTTCAGGCTAGGGTGTCGCCCATCTGTGTAGCGGGGGCGGCTAGCCACCACAACCATCTACCCCTTGTCCACACCTGCTGCTGGATACTCCAGTAAGTGCTGGAATACACTGCTTGGGACGCTCTGGTGTGTGTGGAGTGTGGGAACTGGTGTATGAGAGCTCCTGGAGGGGGCAGGGTAAGAGTGGGTTTGTGACGGGGGAAGATTTGCAGTGGATAGATGAAATTTTTTTGGGGGGTTGGGGAAGAGGTTGTGAAATTGACGAGCTGATTATCATCTCGATTGGTTTGTAACCCATGATGATCCAGTCAACCAATAGGGGTTATTTATATAGGAGAAATGTAGGTCCTTGGGTTATACTAGGTAATTTACACTGTGTATGAAAATTATACATATGTGTATCTGTGCCTAAATAAACTTATTAGCAGCAAATTGTAAGCAATTTAATAAACTGTAGCTACGTGGCTAAATTTCAGCTGTTTTACTGTCTGTCACCTTAAGCATTTCAAGTTTTTGTAATTCACCTTGACCCAAGTATTTTTTTTGACGACTCCCATTTTGTTTTGGGTAATTTGTAATTTGGTGAGTTTTTCTTTGTAGTTAGGGCAGAGTATTGACTTAATATTTAAAAAAAAAAAAGGACATGATCTCTCATATCTGCATGACCTTATATAAAAGCTAGACATAGGGTTTTACATGGCTAAGCAATAGTCCAGTTAGTCTGTAGTTTGACATGGAACAAATTTTAAAATAATGATGTCTGGAGTAATATTTTTCATTTTTTTTTTATTTTTAAGGGAACATTACAGATTTGTATTATTTGCTGTACATAGTTGTTATTGATATACAAAAGTTACATATGATGATTTACCCAGGGTCATTCCTTTAATTCTGCAGAAACATTTATTTCCTTACATTATATAACTATTTCATTTAATTTAGACATGTAATAAAGTTGGTAGAATTACCGACAATATGTAAAGTAAAAGGACACAAGTGCAACTAATGTGACATTTATTGTGGCAACGTTTCGCTCTCCAGGAGCTTTATCAAGCCATTACAAACAATACATGGACACAGAGGGTATATAAAGGCTCTGAGCCTTTATATACCCTCTGTGTCCATGTATTGTTTGTAATGGCTTGATAAAGCTCCTGGAGAGCGAAACGTTGCCACAATAAATGTCACATTAGTTGCACTTGTGTCCTTTTACTTTACAATTTAGACATGTGTAATCCTCTTTTACATCTACAGGTAATATTCAGACTGCTGATAACACTGGAGAAAATGTCAAATGTATACATGTACATGTCTGCCTGTTTAACCTGATTCTTCCTAGTGGCATTTATAAAAAGGAAAGACTAATTCAACTAGGTATTTTTATTTAGGTAATGTACTAGATGTAATTATTAGATATAGCAGATTTATTGTGGTTTAGGGTTAAATAATTTAGCGTAACAAGAACTAAAGTTTTGAAGTTTTATTACCTGGTAATTCAGTAAACTTTCTTCTCTGTGTGTTAATTTTGCATCTCTGAATTTGTAAAGTAAAAAGACACAAGTGCAACTAATGTGACATTTTATTGTGGCAACGTTTCGCTCTCCAGGAGCTTTATCAAGCCGTTACAAACAGTACATGGACACAGAGTATATATAGGCTCAGAGTGAGGTGCAGTGCTAGTGGTAGTAGTAGTAGTAGTAATACAGTATTGTAATACCAACATTATTACAATAAAATGTCACATTAGTTGCACTTGTGTCCTTTTACTTTACATATTGTCGGTAATTCTACCAACATTACATCTCTGAATTTGCCGACATCTTGAGTTATATTACATTCTATTACCCATTATTTGCAACAGGGTTAACAGATCCCAACTCACGTTTGGTATTGTACTGTCTTCCATGAGCTTACTCTCCTGGATTCTTCACAAGTGTATGTTAACCCTTAAACGGTCCAAATGTATATATACGTTCACTCGCGTAGCGCCCCAAATTTTTTGAGGAAAAAAATCTTTTCTTTTAAAAGGAAAAAAGAGCATATGGTACCCAGGCATCCCCAATTATTTTAATATGGCGCACAGTGAGTGCGCATACCCATTCTCTCATGTCTAGGTGACTCAGGCTCATTGTGGCAATGTTGAATCAATGACAAAGAAAACGTATATATATGTTTGGGGCGCTACGCCCATGAACGTATATATACGTTTGGACCGTTTAAAGGTTAATATGAAATGATCTGCAAGCTGGGGTCTCAGAGTATTGCATTACAGTACATTTCTGTCTTGATCCCATCAATTATAACTGCTCTACCCCTTCTCATTTTACCGACTGCCTCACACACCACCGTCAGTCTCACAGCTAGCTCTTCCTAACTCTTAATAGATATTATACCTCCCTGGCCAGTGCATGAAATCATTGCCTCCCGTTCTTCATCAACATTTAACAGCTCCTCAAGATATTCCTGGCGTCTTCCCAATACCTCCAATTCTCCTCTTCAGTTTTTCAAAGTCAAATCCATTTGTTCCTTAGGCTTTCTCAACCTATTAATCTCACTCCAAAACTTTTTCTTATTCTCAGCAAAAATTTATGACAGAACCTCACCCACTTGTCATTTCCTCTCCTTTTACACTTCCTCATCACTTTTTAATTCTCTTTTACTCTCCATATACTCCCTCCTTATATCACTTCTGCTTTGTAAAAACCTCTACTTTATCAAGCTGTATAGCCCTTGTGGCTTAGCGCTTCTTTTTGATTATAATAATAATAATCTACTTTATCACTCTCTTTACCTCATCATTCCACTATTCACTCCTCTTCCCCCCCCACACTCACCCTCCTATATCCACAAACTTCTGCTGCACACTAACACTGCATTCTTAAATCTATCGCATACCTCTTCACCCTCCTCTTTACCTATACTTTCATTAGCCCATCTTACTCCCAATAGTTGCTTATATCTTACCCTAACTTCCTCCTCTAGTTTATAAATTTTTAACTCTCTCTTACTTGCTGATGCCATTCTCCATGTACCCCATCTTCCTATTACTCTCACTGTAGCTACAACTAAATAGTGATATGATATATCTGTTGCTTCCTGTGAGTGTGCACATCCAGAAATTTACCCATCAGACCTTTTATCCATTAATACCAAGTCCAACAAACTGTTGTCATTGCACCTTATATCATATCTTGTGTACTTATATATCCTCATTTTCTTAAAATGTGTATAACCTGATGAAATTAAGACATGTGCAACATCTGGTTATCTTTATTGTAGACGTTTCGCCATCCAGTGGCATTATCAATACAAATTCCAGGACATAACTTGAAGACAGTAGAACTATGTACAGAAGATGAGGTAATCAGTCCCTCAACCTTGGAGTAGGTGCAAAGAGCACCGTAGTTGTGGAGATTCTTGTATAACCTGTTACCAAACCTCTTTCTATGCAGAGTTCATTCAAAGACTTCCCCCCCCCCCATTATCATTTACCCCTGCCATCCCATATACAGTTTCTTCCACTTCAGTATGTAGGTCCCCTACCACAATTACTGTCATTTGGTTCAACTCTCCCTAAACACTCAACATCTCCCAAAATCTCTCTCCTCAACACATAATCATTTAATTTATTCATTTATATTGCCTCTCTTCCTGCCATAACTGATTCTTCAGCATTATTGCTACTTGTTTCTTAGCTCTAACTCTAATCTAATCCTATTTATTTCTCCCACTGACACTCCTACCCTATCAGCTTTATTTCACCAAGAGTAGACATCCAGTTCTTTTCATTCATAACATTCACAATTGTCATACCTATCTATCATCTGCACTACATCCACGCACATTTAAACATCACAACTTTATAATTTTTTCTTCTTTTTACATTTAGTAATTTATTCAGGGAAAGGGCTATGAGCCCCTTGCTCCTGGCATTTTAGTAGTCTCTTACGACACACATGGCTTATGGAGGAAGGATCCTTCTCCACCTTCCCTTGGATATGGAAATAAATAAAGAAGAACAAGAACTATTAAGAAAATAGAGAAAACTCAGATGGGTATGCATGTATGTACATGCCTGTGTAATACGACCTAAGTGAAAGTAGAAGTACCAAGATATACGTACGTGTTATCTCGAGCGTTTGCAACAGAAAGAAAAGACACCAGTTTAGCAGAACGGTAGTACCTCCGTGGTTGGTTGCCATTTGTCACCCTACTTCCTACGTGCAAATATTCTATTATATCTGTTATGTGACCCATTTATATTACAACTGACTTAAAATAGCAGAAAATGTTAGGCTAATAATATACTGCATCTGGATACTGAGGTCACTGGAATTCCAAATATATTTCCATTTTCTTATCAAAATAATCTACATACGGTACATGTTCAAGATAGAAAAAAATGTCTGTCATGAAACATACCTCTAGCTGATGTTGAGGGATTACAGTATGGTACAATAATTAAAAGATAAATTGGTTTAGACATTTTTCAAAGCTCATGAAGGAAATTGTAGCTTTGATGGAGGAAAAAAAAAAAAGTTGCTTCTGATGTATGGGTAAATTCTAAGAATAGTGGAACTCTTAATGCTGCAGGGGCTATTTGGTTATATGTTAGTGGCAGTAATTCGTATCAGTATTAAATAATATTCACTTTATTGTTCATTTATTCCTGCTTTTTCTTCGAAATATGATTGTTATATAGTATACTGTATATTATGGTATTATTGCTATACAGTATACTGTATATTATGGTATTATTGCTATACAGTATACTGTATATTATGGTATTATTGCTGTACAGTATACTGTGTATTATGGTATTATTGTATTGCAATGCACCAGTATTCCTTGTCATCCAATATTACTTTGAAACATTGTCAATGGAATTTTATGATTTTTTTTCCTGCATGGAAAAAGCATTTTTAATTTAATTTTATTAGTCCTTGAATACGCACCGTCATGTTATCTCATCACTGTAATTGTTAGAGAATCAGAATTCTAATGTTTTTTAATACTGGGATAAATTTTTGTTCTGAGTTCATTTTAAATTTCCTATTTTATTGTTCAGTATATTAATAAATTGGGCATATAGGTTTCTCTAAGGAATTTTGAGATAGGCCTTATTATCAGTTGATCTGGTCTGTCCATATTTATTGTCGATTAAAATGTTACTCTAGTTACTATTTAATTATGATATTTTATATTGTTGGAGTGTGAGCAAAGTAACATTTATGAAGGGGTTCAGGGAAACCGGCAGGCCGGACTTGAGTCCTGGAGATGGGAAGTACAGTGCCTGCACTCTGAAGGAGGGGTGTTAATGTTGCAGTTTAAAAACTGTAGTGTAAACCACCCTTCTGGCAAGACAGTGATGGAGTGAATGATGGTGAAAGTTTTTCTTTTTCGGGCCACCCTGCCTTGGTGGGAATCGGCCAGTGTGATGATAATAATAATTTTATATTGTTTTTGTATAATGTTGTTTTTATAGCACTTGAGGTTCCTTATAAAGAATAAACTTTTTAAGATGCATTTTGAAGGGTATAAGGAAAGGCCAACTTTACTACTTTAAAGAACAAATTAAATCAGGCTACCTCTCAAATGCTGGTACTATATCTTTCTCCTTTAAAATGCATGACATTTACCCTTTATATTTAAGGCTTTCATGGAAGTTATTTAAGACAGTATATTGATAAACTCTTTAATTATTATATTATTAGCTTAATGGATAGGTAAATCCATTCTTGAGTGACATCTTAAGACTAAATTTTATTTGGGTTAGATTAAAATTTATCCTAATTTTCCTTGACTTCCTCTATTCCAGGGTTGTTTGTAGATTACCTTGGAAAGATGCCGGGGTAAGTCGGCTATCCAAAATTTGATGTTGTACTAATAGAAGCAACTTGCAAGTGTGGGTGTATTGTGTTTGGTCTTTCTTATGGCAATAATCACTAGTAATGTGGGTCCTAATTTGTTCCAGCCTTGTTAGAGTACAACCTCTGAATAAATGCTTTAGAAAATCGACAAGATGATAAATGAGACACTTATGCAACATTTTGGGTATCTTTATTCTGAAAATGTTTTGCCAGCCAGTGGCTTCTTCAGTCCAGTGCAGAGAAAGGTGGAAGATGAGGAGTTTGAGGGACTGATTACCTCAAACTCCTCCTCATCTTCCACCTTTCTCTGCATGGACTGAAGAAGCCACTGGCTGCCGAAATGTTTCCAGAATAAAGTTACCCAAATGTTGCATAAGTGTCTCATTTATCATTAGAGTACAACCTGTTTATTTCTTCCAAAACTCACTATCATGCAGTTACATGATACTAGCATTCTTACACTAGGTTTTTCCATTGGTTAGGTATAGTCTAAATATAATTTTCATTCCCATTTTATTGATATCAGCTATTGGGATTTAATGCACACAAAAATGTGTAGCTATTCTTCTTGATGAATATTAAATTGTGTATTATTCTTTAAAGTATTATCCTATCTACTTCATGATATAGTGTAAATATTGTCATTAGAATTCAGCTGTGCCAAAATTTGATAAAATTCGACCTTGATTTGAAAGGATGCAGTATATTTACTTGTAACAAGTTACTGCTCACTTTTCTCATGGTCTAGATTTAAAATGCTGACAAGTTAGGGCTCACAAGTAATTTTAGAGCTTTTTATTCATTTTCATCATAATCACATTAATGTTTGAATTATGATTAAACATCCTATAGTAAACTCCCTTTGCTGTTAATATATAATATTGTAATTTACACCCTAAAGGAAGGTTAACTTATGAAACCTGTTATTTTTTGACCCTAAATCTACTAATTAAAGCTTTTGACACTGTTTATTACAGGTTAAACCATCATTATTATTAATGGAAGCTTACCTAAATAATGTAAAGCTAAAATAATTTATTAATGCAGTTTATCCTGTGTACTTATGATCTTATTCCATACTCACATGGAATAATATACCTAATATAATTTCAGTTATAATATGCTATGTAGTAGCTATTTTATATCTTTCACAGAACTAGTATTGGCATAGTTTAGATTTTGGAATGATAGTAGCAGTTTACAGCTGTCCCATCAGTGTGTGATTCCTTGTACTCGCTGAGAAACAACCATTCCTTGAGGAGGCGGAATCATTGTATACTTTCCTTAGATATTTTATTTGCCCCCTCAGTATTGAAGACATTCAAAGTGGCACCTGAAACAAATGTTAAGTATTTATAGTGTTTTAAAAGTATACTTTGTTGTGTTTAGCTACATGCTTGATCATCACATTCTGTTTTGTATGTAGCTTACGTATTCTGTAATATACTACTGTATATGATAGTTTTGAATGTTACTACCGAATGTATCAGTGTTGTATATTGCTTGTTTTGTTTCTGTACATTTTTGTCTTATGAGTTTTGTCATTACCAGTGTTTAATCTTAGTTATAAAGAACAAAATTTTCCATAAGTGCTACCCACTGTAATATAACAGTTGGTAGTGTTCGTGTACAAATATGGTTCCTGCAATATGCCAGTTACTTGATTTCCTATTAATCCTAAGAGATTTCTGAATTCTGTCATATTTTGGAAATGCTGTTGGAAAGCTCATTATACTGTATATATAGAGTACTTCCTTCCTGTCTTAATACAGATCTTAAAAACTGCATAATAGAAAATTGTCATGCTGCAAAAATGATTAAACTGTGTCCATAGTAACCATTCACACTGATCATTAGACTTGTTAGGAAACAAGTATTTTACAATTGCTTTTGAAGTGTTATTTGGTGCAAGTTTTGAAAAGCAGTTTTTACATGTTTTACATTTACCATGCAAAGTAGTTGCTTCATAAATCTTAGCTAAACAGATGATTTTTTGAATTAGAATATAGCAAAATTTGATTTGTTGTTGTGCTTGGTATATGCGAATAATAAAGTTTATGATATTCGTATTAACACTAAAGGTACTGCATTAGCTTATTGTTTAATTGTTAAAATGGATTTACACACACAAGGAAAAAATAATTCTGCTGACTAATTACTGACTTGGTCTACTTGTATGTTTAAAAGATTTTAAAAATCTCCGGTATTTGCCTTATACCATATAGTATTGGAAGGTAAGTTAATGTTAATTCATAAGAATCACCAGTGAAACATCTTATCTGCCATCCCTTGTTGTTCTGATAAGCATTATGAAAGTTTATGATGTGGGTTACCACTTAGCCAGATATATTTGCTGATGCATGTTGTAGAACAGTGTGTTTTTACTTTGAGGTTTCGTTAAGCAATGCTTTAAGATTAACAAGTTTATTTACTACAAATAAGTTTCTTTTATGAGCATAGAAGAAATGGAGGATTGACCACAATTGGTACTACAATGTTCCTTGATTGATAAGTATGTTTGCTGATAACAGCAGTTGGGTGTTGTCTCCTCAGCTTGCTGCTTGTTTCACTTGTCTGGGAAATTTTCACCAACAGTTAATTTATATTGTTACAAGTATCATGTACAGAGACTTGTAATAAAACTATTAGTTTGCTTTTTGCTAGTGATTTTAAGCTAATCAGGTATAGAGATTTGCTGATTATCATTAATGTGAAAGTTTGTTTCACAAAAATATCAAAATACTCTCTGAAGTATTACAGAGAGCTGTTTTTATATTTCTTGAGATCAAAAAAGTCAGTGGTGCAGTTAAGAAAATGAATGCAAGGAAAAGCAAGCTGGCCCTAGAATTAGAGGGAAGTCGTTTGTATAACCGCCGTAAAAATTGGACCTTTCATTCTGATGAAAATGCAGATGCTACTAGCCCTCAGCCATTGCATCCTGCTAACTTTACCCCAAGCTCGGTTCAGCTACATCTTGAGCAGGTTAATCCTCTTCCAAAACCTCCAAGACAACATGATTCTGAAGCCACTGATAATGATGACCGAAGTGAACCTTTCCCAGGCAAACGGGTAACAGAAATGCTCACGCCAGAATTAGAGAGAGAATTTCGAAATCAATTCATAGAAAATCTTAACCTAGAAGAGGCATTAAGTGAACGTCCTCCAAGTTTCACACCACCTGAGAGGTAAGTTAATACAGTGGACCCCCGGTTAACGATATTTTTTCATTCCAGAAGTATGTTCAGGTGCCAGTACTGACCGAATTTGTTCCCATAAGGAATATTGTGAAGTAGATTAGTCCATTTCAGACCCCCAAACATACACGTACAAACGCACTTACATAAATACACTTACATAATTGGTCGCATTGGGAGGTGATCGTTAAGCGGGGGTCCACTGTACTATTAAGAGATAATCTTAAAAGCTGCAGCAGCTTAACCGGTCTTTAACCAAGCAAGATGAAAGATAAGCTTAGTTATACAGTACTGGATATAAATATCTGTAATAAATTGTTTGACTTTTACTAAGGTTATCCAAGAGAATGCATATACGTACAGTTAAGAGTGGATTCTGAGATGTACAGTAATTGTTTTAGATGTGACAGGGCAAATAAGTCACATAGATAAGCTGTCTTGCAAGATATGGACTTGTTTGTTTGGACAATTATGATCTAATGGTAAGATAAACGTGCAGATTTTTCTAGATGCTGTACTTGAATGCTTATTTTAATGTATAAATTTTAAGAAAATTTTGTTATAGTTCTTATAGTTAGCTATCTTATAAATAAGACAGCTAACACAAAATTAGACAACTGAAAAAAAGGTACAGCCTAGATCTTCATCGTTTATAATCATCTGCAGGCCAGAGGCAGTCAAACTGGGAAAGGGGGCTGTCCTGGCTCTGAGGTTAAGGTCTAAATTCAGTGATAGCCTTACCAAATCACTCTTGCCATTAGGCATTTGTTATTCCACTTTTAAATTCCAAAATAATAGATACCTATACTACCATTTGCTATGACTTATGCACCACAGTCATAGGGCTGGAATCACTGGGTCCCACTCTTAGAGCTGTTAATAGTACATTAACTTTTGCACCATAAATGACCACTGTAAGGAGCTACTGAACAGCTCATCATATGACTTAAGTCCTTGTATGGATGCAGTCTTCTGATGTAGAAATTACAGTACCAACTGAGTACAGACTTGTATTAAGGATTGGTATGTTTTTTCCTTGGCAGTGGAAGATGTAGGAGTTAGTTCATTGGAAATTCATGAGTCTTTGTTGCTTGTTTGGTATTTAAATACTTGTATTTTTTGCATTAATTTTTTTTAACTTTAGGCTAAATTACTTCTGCAGAATAGCAGAACATCCCAAATTCTAAATGCCTTTTACAGTAATTTAGAATTTTGATAAACAGTTCTGATAAACAGAACTTTACTGTTTACTCATCCTTCTCGGTTGCTTGGGGTTATTTTCTTGATAATGTTTTTCCTTTTTAATTGTTTTGTATATATTCTACCTTTTCCATGGAAAAGTGGAACAAAATTCTTCCCCTGTAAGCCATGCGTGTCGTAAGAGGCAACTTAAATGCCAGAAGCAAGGGGCTAGTAACCCCTTCTCCTGTATGTATTACTAAATTTAAAAAGAGAAACTTTCATTTGTCTTTTTGGGCCACCCTGCCTCGGTGGGAAATGGCTGATTTGTTGAAGGAAAAAAAAGAATAATCTACCTGTCTTTATATTGCTAATTCTTAATATTTGTGGATGTGATGTACAGCCACTAAGGGCATGTACGGATATATAAATAAATATCTTTGATTAAAATCCACCTGTGGACATTTAATGTTAAGAGCACTCCAGTGATGGCTGACTTTTGGTTCGTGATCCAAATATTAAGAAACTTGTCTATGTGTTCCCTTGAATCATTGCAGTTGCATGTAATTAGTCAACTGTGACAGGAGTCACACACTGAGCACTTGCTCATGTGGATTTAATTTTTCTTTTGAATATAATGATGAGCGTATAAATCTGTAGAGGGAAGGTGGGGTAGGGGTCGTCCCCGAAAAGGTTGGAGGGAGGGGCTAAAGTAGGTTTTGTGGGTGAGGGGCTTGGATTTCCAGCAAGCGTGTGTGAACATGTTAGATAGGAGTGAATGGAGACAAATGGTTTCTGATGAGCTGTTGGAGTGTAAGCAGGGTAATATTATTCAGAGAAATTAAAAGTTGTGTAGAAATTGGATGATGATGGGTCACCTACCTAAAGAACCCCAAAGGAGGGGTTGTTGAGATAGGTTGAGCATTTAGAGATGATGGAGCACTATAATATAATCAAGGGTGTACAGATCTAGGTGGAAGAAAGGTAGGTTTTGGAGGAGGGAAGCATCCAGCAAGCTTGTGTGAGAGTGTTGGATAGGAGTGGGGACAAGTGGTTTTCATCGCTTGACATACTGTTGGAGTGTGAGCAAGCTAACATTTATGAATAGATTCAGAAAAACTGGTTAGTTGTATTTAAGAGGTAGGGAAGTATGGTGCCTACATTTTGAGAGATGTGTAATGTTGAAGTTTGGAGGGTTAATTGAATTGTTTGAATATTTCCGACAGCTGTTGAATGAATGAAAGGAGAATGTATTTCCATTTTTTTTTTGTCACCCTACCCCTGTGGGAGATGGCTGGTGTGTTAAAAAATCAATCCATCATAAGCTAGTTACAGTACTTGTGTATGTCTAAACTAACAGTCTCAGCCTCATTGTATGTTCATTTGTTTGCTTACCCAGCAGGCATGCAGGGACGTAATGTAGTGTACATCAAATTCATGGTAGATGCTTTGGATGATCAGCCCTAATGTATTGGTGGTTGTTTATTTAGTGAACATTTTGTAACTTTTAATGTCATTTATTTTGTAATTTAGAATGTTGTGGGATTTTAAATTTGGCTGAAAATGCTATCCTGTACAGTTTAAATAAATATTAATTAATAATCATCTTTTGATATTTTGCAGTCTTCACATCATGTCTCTGGGGTCCATGACCTGCACTCGGTGCGGGGACGGCTTTGAACCCCAGGAGAAGATCGTCAATTCTAATGGACAACTGTGGCACACTCAGTGCTTTGTGTAAGCATCCTTTTTCATGTAGTATTTTATAGCTTGACTCTGCAGAGGTAAGTAACAACTTGACTCAAGGTTATACTTTACATTGAGTACAGTTGGTATCATTTGTGTCAAAACTGTTGGTGATGCCTTATATGTACACCTGTCAGTAGAAGCTGTGGTAACAAATGAGTAAGCACAGATAAGAACTATTGAGATTTTAAATAGTTAAGAAATTACTAAGATAAGAATACTGTGCTTATGGGAGATTCTAAAGAAAAATTGCAAAGGTTAGTGGATGAGTTTGGGAATGTGTGTAAAGGTAGAAAGTTGAAAGTGAACATAGAAAAGAGTAAGGTGATGAGGGTGTCAAATGATTTAGATAAAGAAAAATTGGATATCAAATTGGGGAGGAGGAGTATGGAAGAAGTGAATGTTTTCAGATACTTGGGAGTTGACGTGTCGGCGGATGGATTTATGAAGGATGAGGTTAATCATAGAATTGATGAGGGAAAAAAGGTGAGTGGTGCGTTGAGGTATATGTGGAGTCAAAAAACGTTATCTATGGAGCAAAGAAGGGAATGTATGAAAGTTATTAGTAGTACCAACACTTTATATGGTGTGAAGCTTGGGTGGTAAATGCAGCCAGCGAGGAGACGGTTGGAGGCAGCGGAGATGTCCTGTTTAAGGCAATGTGTGGTGTAAATATTATGCAGAAAATTCGGAGTGTGGGAATTAGGAGAAGGTGTGGAGTTAATAAAAGTATTAGTCAGAGGGCAGAAGAGGGGTTGTTGAGGTGGTTTGGTCATTTAGAGAGAATGGATCACAGTAAATGACATGAAAGCATATAAATCTATAGGGGAAGGAAGGCGGGGTAGGGTCGTCCTCGAAAGGGTTGGAGAGAGGGGGTAAAGGAGGTTTTGTGGGTAAGGGGCTTGGACTTCCAGCAAGCGTGCGTGAGCGTGTTAGATAGGAGTGAATGGAGACGAATGGTACTTGGGACCTGACGATCTGTTGGAGTGTGAGCAGGGTAATATTTAGTGAAGGGATTCAGGGAAACCGGTTATTTTCATATAGTCGGACTTGAGTCCTGGAAATGGGAAGTACAATGCCTGCACTTTAAAGGAGGGGTTTGGGATATTGGCAGTTTGGAGGGATATGTTGTGTATCTTTATATGTTTATGCTTCTAGACTGTTGTATTCTGAGCACCTCTGCAAAAACAGTGATAATGTGCGAGTGTGGTGAAAGTGTTGAATGATGATGAAAGTATTTTCTTTTTGGGGATTTTCTTTCTTTTTTGGGTCACCCTGCCTCGGTGGGAGACGGCCGACTTGTTGAAAAAAAAAAAAAAAAAAAAAAAAGAATAGGCCAATAAGGCTGTGAAGAAAACTTTTAATTAAAAGAGAACTGAAGAAAAACGAGCATATTGCAAGTGAAGGATGATTCAAGTCTATAAGAATGAATGTGTATATTGAGTTTGTGGTAATTAATGTCATTCATTGAGATGTAGAATTTTAGGCTGCATAGCAATTAAGTAAAGAACAATGCATGTATGTAAATGTAAAAGTAAACACCTTGACTGTAAATCACAATGATTAGAACTCAAACCCATGGCATGCTAGTCTTGAAACTATCAGGCCAGCACTGTCCACTGAACATTGCTGGCCTAATGAGATGCTATAATGAGATCAGTCTGTAAAAACATGCATTTGTGGTCACTGGGGCTCATGCTAACCTTCCTGTGGTGTTTAGAAATAGCTGGATGAATGTTGTTAGGTCAGCATGGTCCAATGGACAAAGTATTCATTCACTCGTATACAGTAACATCCAAACTGGTAAATCAAACATCAGTTGGTGCTATTAATATTACTTCAAAAATTGATGTATTGTTTCTGTTTGGATATAAGACACACTGCTCTTGAATTTCAGGCTCAAAAAGCATTGAGAAAATTTTCAAAGTTCACAACAGTATTAAACGTATCTTCAGCTGAATGTATTGAATTACTGTATAAATGTAGATGGCAGGTTCATAAGATATGTTTAGTTAAGGTACAAGTTGTTTGTTTGTAACCTTGAGCTTATTATCCAATAGAAATTGATAGTAAAATGGATACATGTGTATCACACATTTCTGGCTGCAGATCAGCATTCATAAGACAAATATTTTCTCAATATCGTGCCTTTTCAACTTCGTTCATGACTGCGGATCAGTGTGATTTGAGTGCAAGTTAGGGCCTTTCCGATGTGCATTAAAAAAGTCAAATACAGGATAGTTATTGATGTACTGTTTTTTACATTTGATTGGTGTAAACTTTGTTGTGTATTAGATTTTTATACCTTGCTTAAGTGTTATCTTTATTAGATGTTGCTTTAAATTACAGATGTGCACAATGTTTCCGTCCATTTCCTGATGATGTTTTCTACGAGTTTGAAGGCCGTAAATATTGTGAACATGACTTCCAAGTTCTTTTTGCACCATGTTGCAACAAGTGTAGTAAGTGGGGTACTTTTGTTTGAGTATTAAATTTGGCAAGTGGTCACATTGTTGAATAGTATATAGACCATGTAGCTATGCAACTTTTTTTTTAAGATGGTGTATACCATTTGTTCAGCATTCTTTGACATGCTGAAGTCTTTCTCTTCCCCCACTCCATGGATGTGGTTGCCCTATTTAAGGTTTTGCCAACAAATATGGTAGAAAGACTTGGTTTAGAAGAAACCTTTATTTTAGGTAACATTTTCTCCCTCACTAGAGGTGTTATCTTCCTGATTTGATAAGGCCTGTGTGTAGATAAAACATTATCTATTATATGGGTTTCCTCAGCACCAAGTGTTTTCAGCATTGTGCCTGAGTTCAAGATTTGATGTCTCTAGAGAATACAGTTGACCCTTGAACAAGGCGGGTTTGAACTGCATGGGTCCACTTATGTGCGGATTTTTTCAATAAATATATATTGGAAACTTTTTTTGAGATTTGTTACTGAAAACATTAAGAAGGTAGGTGTCTCATGAAGGCATAAAATATATGTAGAGACTAGTCTGCTTTATAGTTTACTACCATAAAATATACATAAATTATTTTATTATTATCACACTGGCCGATTCCCACCAAGGCAGGGTGGCCCGAAAAAGAAAAACTTTCACCATCATTCATTTTTATAAATCTATTATAAAAATATAAAATTTATCAAAACTTACACAAACAGTTACAGATCGTACGTGTTCCATTTGCAGGCGAGAGAAATGGAAACAAACAAAAATGCAATATTTAATCATAAATAAATATGAATCTTTTTCACATTATCTTCTCAATTTTGATGTCGAGTGTTAGCAATACATATAACATGTACAGTGTTTTGTATCATTTTAGACAATATTAACCCTTAAACGGTCCAAACGTATATATACGTTCTTTCGTGTAGCGCCCCAAATTTTTTGAGAATTTTTTTTTTTTTTTTTTAATCGGAAAAAAGGGCATATGGTACGCAGGCGTCCCCAATTTTTTTCATATGGCGCACAGTGAGTGTGCACACCCATTCTCTCATGTCTAGGTGACTCAGGCTTATCGTGTCAATGTTGAATGAATGACAAAGGAAACGTATATATACGTTTGGGGCGCTACGCGAGAAAACGAATATATACGTTTGGCCCTTTTTTAGAGGTTAATATAGGTACTGATAGACACGATTCATCTTGCAGTACAATACTTCAAATGTAATTTCTCTTCCTTATGATTTTCTTAATAACATTTTCTTTCCTCTAGCTTACTTTATTGTAAGAATACAGTATATAATGCATATAACATACAAAATATGTGTTAATCAACTGTTTGTTATCAGTAAGGCTTCTGGTCAACAGTAGTAGTTAAGTTTTTGGGGAGTCCAAGATATACATGGATTCTCGATTGCACGGGGATTCAGTGCCCCCATACCCCCTCATTGTTCAAGGGTCAACTGTATTTTGGCTCCCTTCCCTGCAGTATTTCCCTAGTTTCTGCATCTCTTGCATTCTCATAGCCCTTTGCTGGCTACATCATCTACAGTTCAAGGTTTCATTGTTGATGGCTAAGTACAGGCTACGTTGTCATATACATATACATGTGGGTGGCCTGGTAGCCTGGTGGCTAAAGCTCCCGCTTCACACACGGAGGGCCCGGGTTCGATTCCCGGCAGGTGGAAACATTTCGACACGTTTCCTTACACCTGTTGTCCTGTTCACCTAGCAGCAAATAGGTACCTGGGTGTTAGTCGACTGGTGTGGGTCACATCCTGGGGGACAAGATTAAGGACCCCAATGGAAATAAGTTAGACAGTCCTCGATGACGCACTGACTTTCTTGGGTTATCCTGGGTGGCTAATCCTCCGGGGTTAAAAATCCGAACGAAATCTTATCTTATCTTATCTGTACTCATTCCACAAACCTCTTGTCTTTCACCATTGCAATGAAGAAGCATAGTTTTCAACCATCATCATACCTCATCACAATGTCAGTATAGGTTGTTTTGAACCGCTGTTGCCCTTCTTAATCATTAAAATATATTTTTACTAATGAGATCATTTAAATAGTGGATATTCAAGCCCTTATCCATGTTTTTCCCAAAATATCTTTTTGCTTTACAGTATTCAGGTAGTGTACTGTATGTAATGCTCAAGAGGAGCCTTAGAGCTGAACTGTCATATCTGTTTGCCTCTGTGAAGACAGTGATTATGTGTGAATGATGGTGAAAGTGTTTCTTTTTTGGGTCACCCTGCCTCAGTGGGAGACGGCTGGTGTGTTGGAAAAAGAAAATATCATTCAAGGCAGGGTCACTTGCCTTGGCAAGAAGCCTGTTGAGGGAAAGAAAATTATCATACAAACTGATAAAATGTATTTTAGGTACTAGTTGTACGATTCATAATTATGTGGTCCAATGAACCAAAGAAATAATGATGTATTTTGGTATTGTGTCAATTGTTACTTCTTAAGGTTCTAACTAATGTCATATTGACAATCAGAGCCTGGATTGATTCAAAATGACAAATGGTTTGTAAGCCATTGACACTGAGGAGGAAGAAATGGTGGATATTGCTGAAAAAAGTATGTAGGAAAGTCTTAAATGTTTGTATTTAGGCTAAGCTTGGTCAGTTATTGCTTTGACTCACTGAACTTACACAGAAGGTAGTTTTTCATTCTTCAACCCTTCAAGGAGTGAACTTGGCTCTTGATGAAGGCTTTTGATCAGAAGATTATAAGGGGAGTATAGCTACTCACTGACTCAAGAAATCGTAATGACACGATTGCAAATAAACCATACCCCCGGCCGGGATTGAACCCGCGGTCATAGAGTCTCAAAAAGAAAATATCATTCAAGGCAGGGTCACTTGCCTTGGCAAGAAGCCTGTTGAGGGAAAGAAAATTATCATACAAACTGATAAAATGTATTTTAGGTACTAGTTGTACGATTCATAATTATGTGGTCCAATGAACCAAAGAAATAATGATGTATTTTGGTATTGTGTCAATTGTTACTTCTTAAGGTTCTAACTAATGTCATATTGACAATCAGAGCCTGGAGTTTTGAGACTTTATGACCGCGGGTTCAATCCCGGCCGGGGGTATGGTTTATAGCTACTCACTCCTTGTTTTTTATTGGTAAACCTGATTACCTCCCATTTCCCAGGTGCTGTATGAGCCTTACAGGTTAGTGATTCCCATTAATATATTAATATAACTTATAATTCAAGATATTTTTTGTTTTTAACACACCGGCCATCTCCCATCTATTTAAGGTGACCTTAAAAAATAAAAAAGGAAACACACTCACCATTATTCATTCATTCACTGTCTTGCCAGAAAGGTGCTGATATCACAGCTTAGATGACTCTCCAAACCGAAACATCTTGCATTTAGAGTGCAGGCACTGTGGTCCCACTTGCAGGATAAGATGCTAATTAGACTTATTTTCCTTTTTGCTTCTGATAGCTTTATTTGTTGTTGATGTCTAGTATAAATAACTATTACACTACAGTTATGCTTTATACATTTATTCCTTATATTTTTCCAGATGAATTCATCATTGGGAGGGTGATCAAGGCCATGAATGCTAATTGGCATCCAAGATGCTTTACTTGTGAGCTCTGCAGCAAGGAGCTAGCTGATCTGGGATTCATCAGAAATGCTGGACGAGCACTCTGTCACGAGTGCAATGCTAGAGTCAAGGCACACTCCCAGGGCAAATACATGTGTCATAAGTGCCAGTATGTATTTGTTTTATTCATATGTTGTAGATTATACAATTTTTCGAAGTGAAATACATAAATATTCATTGGTAAACCATGATGGAATATATAACAATTACATTTTTTAATAGATTATCCCATCTTGGATACTCTGTATTAAACATTGTCTGAGATTTAGGTTTATTTGTTTAGTTTATTGAATAACATGTTTCGAAGGTTTCATTCCAGCAGAGCTCAAGTTACTGTCACTTGGAAATTTCCATCTTTCAGGGTAGTTTATCCCATACACAGGAAAAATTAAATTTTTATGAAAATATCTCCATCATCCTAGAGTGGGGGCAAGAGAAATTATATATAAACATCAGAGAAAAGGGAGCAGGAGGGTTAAGAAATTTTTATGACATAATATATCTAACTACATATATGCACCTAAGAATGTTTAATGGCTTTAGACTTGAGTTTTTTTTTTTTTGTAGGTCACTTTGTGCACAAGTTGAAAGTGACTCAAGGCAAAACATACCAATCCTTTTCATTCTTTCTATTTCCATCCATTTGCGATTCACCATCTCACTGATCAGTTTTTATGATGGTTATATAAATAATACTAAAAATGTCAAAAGAATTCTAACTTGTTAGCCATGAGACATTGTAATTGCAGTAATATAGAACCTGTTTCTTGACTAGAGCTGATGTTCCATATCTTCAACAGTTCAACAATTGAAGGGCAACCTCTGAGGTGGCGTGGAGACACTTTCCATCCATACCACTTTAACTGTGCTTCTTGTGGCAATGAATTAACAGCTGATGCCAGGGAGGTCAAGAGTCGTCCAGGGTACACAGCCAATGAAATGGTAAGACTTGTAAAGTTTGTGGTATTTGGACTGATCAGGAAAAGGTGTGGTGCTGTAAGACACTAATTCCAGAGGAGTCTTCATTATACAGAGTTTCACCACAGTGCAGAGGAGTCCTCATTATACAGAGTTTAACCACAGTGCAGAGGAGTCTTCATTATACAGTTTAACCACACTGCAGAGGTGTCTTCATTATACAGAATTTCACCACAAATTGACTTTCATAAAGTACCCAATTTGTGATGAAATGCTGTACAATAAAGACATCTCTGTGATTGCTCTGCCTTGTTCTATAAGGTACGATGCTGCTTTAAGAATGCCATATTAGTGTGCAACAAAGGTTTGTGTATTAGAACTACTAATGCATACTTTTTTCTTTTTCATTAATTACTAATGTGATTTCATTTGTATATTCTTATTCTTCAGTGATTATAAGTTGTTTCTCTCTTTTACAACTCTCTTAACAAAGGAGTAATTTTCAAGTACTTTTTAATATTTCTTCAAAATCTAAATTGAATTCAGGAGGTAAAACAACTGCAGTAATTGAATGACGCGAGATAAATGGTGATAAAGGAGAAAATGTTGGTGTATGGTGTTTGCAGTATAAGGTTATGAAAGGAAGCTAGACTTGAAAAGAATTTAAGTTGTAAAGAATTATCAAAGATTATCAAATGAAGGAATGATTGAGGCAGTGTAAGACAGAGTTCTGGAGAGGGGGGGGGGGGCATGAAGGTAAGCCAACCAAAGTAATAGTATACTTATGACTGGTTTTGAATTTTTTTTTTTATATATATACAGTGGAACCTCAATATATGACCAGCATCCTCCCCAAACAAAGCTCAGCACTCGACCAAACAAATACGACCTGCCAGAACTTCGCTGTAAACTATTTCGTGTTTGCTTTTTTTTTTTTTTTTGTATAAATAAGTCACCATGGGGCCTACGAAAATTAGTGATAACAGCCAACCAAACAGAAAATTGGTTGGGAAGAACTTGTTTGATACTCAAACAGAGCAGCACTCGAACAGCCTTCAGGAATGAATTAAGGTCGTATACTGAGGGAATATTTTGAGGAATTGTTAAATGTTGATGAAGATAGGGAAGCTGTGATTTCGTGTATAGGGCAAAGAGGAATAACATCTTGTAGGAGTGAGGAAGAGCCAGTTGTGAGTGTGGGGAAAGTTTGTGAGGCAGTAGGTAAAATGAAAGGGGGTAAGGCAGCTGGGATTGATGGGATAAAGATAGAAATGTTAAAAGCAGGTGGGGATATAGTTTTGGAGTGGTTGGTGCAATTATTTAATAAATGTCTGGAAGAGGGTAAGGTACCTAGGGATTGGCAGAGAGCATGCATAATTCCTTTGTATAAAGGCAAAGGGGACAAAAGAGAGTGCAAAAATTATAGGGGGATAAGTCTGTTGAGTCCTAGGTAGTAGGTTGGTAGACAGCAACCGCCCAGGGAGGTACTACCATCCTGCCAAATGAGTGTAAAACGAAAGCCTGTAATTGTTTTACATGATTGTAGGATTGCTGGTGTCCTTTTTTCTGTCTCATAAACATGCAAGATTTCAGGTACGTCTTGCTACTTCTGCTTACACTTAACACTACACATGTACAAGTATATATATACACACACCCCTCTGGGTTTTCTGCTATTTTCTTTCTAGTTCTTGTTCTTGTTCTTGTTTATTTCCTCTTATCTCCATGGGGAAGTGGAACAGAATTCTTCCTCCGTAAGCCATGCGTGTTGTGGGAGGCGACTAAAATGCCGGGAGCAAGGGGCTAGTAACCCCTTCTGTATAAATTACTAAATTTAAAAAGAGAAACTTGTTTTTCTTTTTGGGCCACCCTGCCTCGGTGGGACACGGCCGGTTTGTTGAAAGAAGAAGAAGTCTGTTGAGTATACCTGGTAAAGTGTATGGTAGAGTTATTATTGAAAGAATTAAGAGTAAGACGGAGAATAGGATAGCAGATGAGCAAGGAGGCTTTAGGAAAGGTAGGGGGTGTGTGCACCAGGTGTTTACAGTGAAACATATAAGTGAACAGTATTTAGATAAGGCTAAAGAGGTTTTTGTGGCATTTATGGATTTGGAAAAGGTGTTTGACAGGGTGGATAGGGGGGCAATGTGGCAGATGTTGCAGGTGTATGGTGTAGGAGGTAGGTTACTGAAAGCAGTGAAGAGTTTTTACGAGGATAGTGAGGCTCAAGTTAGAGTATGTAGGAAAGAGGGAGATTATTTCCCAGTAAAAGTAGGCCTTAGACAAGGATGTGGGATGTCACTGTGGTTGTTTAATATATTTATGGATGGGGTTGTAAGAGAAGTAAATGCGAGGGTCTTGGCAAGAGGCGTGGAGTAAAAAGATAAAGAATCACACAAAAAGTGGGAGTTGTCACAGTTGCTCTTTGCTGATGACACTGTGCTCTTGGGAGATTCTGAAGAGAAGTTGCTGAGGTTGGTGGATGAATTTGGTAGGGTATGCAAAAGAAGAAAATTAAAAGTGAATACAGGAAAGAGTAAGGTTATGAGGATAAAAGGATTAGGGGATGAAAGATTAGATATCAGATTGGAGGGAGAGAGTGTGGAGGAGGTAAATGTGTTCAGATATTTGGGAGTGGACGTGTCAGTGGATGGGTCTATGAAAGATGAGGTGAATCATAGAATTGATGAGGGGAAAAGGGTGAGCGGTGCACTTAGGAGTCTGTTGAGACAAAGAACTTTGTCCTTGGAGGCAAAGAGGGGAATGTATGAGAGTATAGTTTTACCAATGCTCTTATATGAGTGTGAAGCATGGGTGATGAATGTTGCAGCGAGGAGAAGGCTGGAGGCAGTGGAGATGTCATGTCTGAGGGCAATGTGTGGTGTGAATATAATGCAGAGAATTCGTAGTTTGGAAGTTAGGAGGAGGTGCGGGATTACCAAAACTGTTGTCCAGAGGGCTGCGGAAGGGTTGTTGAGGTGGTTCAGACATGTAGAGAGAATGGAGCAAAACAGAATGACTTCAAGAGTGTATCGGTCGGTAGTGGAAAGAAGGCAGGGTAGGGGTCGGCCTAGGAAAGGTTGGAGGGAGGGGGTAAAGGAGGTTTTGTGTGCGAGGGGCTTGGACTTCCAGCAGGGATGCATGAGCGTGTTTGATAGGAGTGAATGGAGACAAATGGTTTTTAATACTTGACGTGCTGTTGGAGTGTGAGCAAAGTAACATTTATGAAGGGATTCAGGGAAACCGGCAGGCCGGACTTGAGTCCTGGAGATGGGAAGTATAGTGCCTGCACTCTGAAGGAGGGGTGTTAATGTTGCAGTTTAAAAACTGTAGTGTAAAGCACCCTTCTGGCAAGACAGTGATGGAGTGAATGATGGTGAAAGTTTTTCTTCATCGGGCCACCCTGCCTTGGTGGGAATCGGCCAGTGTGTTAATAATAAATTAAAAAAATACTGAGGTTCCACTGTATATCCTAGCAGCTCAACCTAAGGCCAGACTGCCTTATTGACTGCCTGGTCAGCCAAGCTCTTGCTCTAGTGGCCTGCAGGCTCACATAGCTGGTCAGGTACAGTTGTCAAGTTTCCTCTTAAACACTTTGCATCATTCCAGCAGAAGGATATACAAGTTTAGTATCCCTTATCCGAAATTTGAAAAGCCCTGAAGTTCGAAAATTTTATCACATGCCTACATGACACCACAAATGCAAAATTCCCATCGGTAGGGAGTAGGATGTTCCCGGGTATTTCACAGGTCTCTGCACACCCAGGCAGTTGTTACATGTGACCTCGCATACCCTGGGTGGGGCTCTGTTGGTGCTAGTTTGTTATCAATAGTCAGTCATCACCACCACGACCTGTGTGTATTACTGTGCATTTTGTGCTTATTCTTTGCTCTGGGGTGTGAAGATATTGTTGAAAATGTCAAAAAGGCTTGCAGATGCCCCATTGGGTAACATTGATAAGAAAAAATAGTGTACAGTAGCCTTTTAGTCAAAACACAGCATCATAGGTAGAGACTGAAGGCCTACAGTTGTTTGGTGCTTTTTAACCCTTAACCCTTTGACTGTTGCGGCCGTATACAGTAGGGCCCCACTTATACGGCTGGTTAGGTTCCAGGCTACTGCCGTAAAGTGGAAACCGCCGTAAAGTGGAACACCCTTTTTTTTCCACTTACAAATGCATACAAACACTAGATAACAAGTTTACACTAACATATATTAAGTTAGCAATAGAACCAGGCATCAAAAAACAATAAAAAAGTACAATACACACATAGTGCACTCATTACTTACCTTAAAATATTTATAGTCTTAATCTAGGGTGAGACAAGTAGTATTTATTGTAAGAAATCAAGTGTGGTATGTATGGTAGTCAGCCAGGCTACCATACCAGGCCACCCCACCCACACATGCAATTCTATGATATTTAAGCATCCCAGAGTGATAAAATGTATATACAGTTCACTCATTACTTACCTTAACCCTTTCAGGGTCCGTCCCGTAGATCTACGGCTTTACGTTCAGGGTCCAAACCGTAGATCTACGCCATGAGCTCAGCTCACTCTGATAAACTGTGAGTGGTACATTTGGGCCTAGATATGAGAGAATACATCTATGTGGTATGTGTGCACCACATAAAACAGATCCTGCAGCACACTGTGTATAATGAGAGAAAAAAACTGAAATCATGATTTTTCGATTAAAACAGCAACTTTGCAGTGTTTTTTCGTATGTTTTTTATAGTTGTATTTGCGATTTCTTGGTCTCATTTGATAGAATGGAAGACATATTACAGAAATAGAGATGATTTTGATTGGTTTTAGCACTGGAAATGACTTGAAACTGAGCTCAAAGTAGCAGAAATGTTAAATTTTTGCCGATATTCAAGAGTAAACAAACGACCTCACACGTCTAATACACGTCAGCTGGTGGGTCTAATATACATTCACAAATATGGTGATGATATTTATACAATTATTACAGTATTGCATAACAGTAAATCTTTATTTTTTGGTGTGAATAAAAATTCATTATGTGAATAAAAAATCAAAATGGAATTTATTTGTAAAGCCTCAAAACATAACTAATGAACAGAGGAAATGTTAGTTTAGTACCAGGAATGCCTACATTGTTCATTCTGGACCCTATTTTGAAATTGGAATATTTTGAACTTTGTGTTAAATTGGCCAAATTAACAATTTCCGATCACTTTATTTTGTAGTTGAAACAGTTGACTTGGCGATTTCTTGTGCTCAATCGATAGAATAGAAGTAATACTAGTGAAATAGCTAAGAATTTGGTTGACTGGAATAATGTAATTGGCCTAAAATGGGAGTCAAAGTCGGCAAAATCGCCGATTCGTAAATATCGCTGACACATCAAAATTCACGAGAGCATAATTTCGTCAATTTTCCACCAAATTTCGTACTTTTTGTTTTATTACCTTCACAAAAAGATTCTCTACGATTTCATAAGAAAAATAACAAATTTTTTTTTTGAAAATTCTTGGACACTGGTGCGTGACTCCAGATTTGGGCCTTGGACCCTGAAAGGGTTAAAATATAGGGTGAGATGAGTAGTATTTATTGTAAAAAATCAAGTGTGGTATGTATGGTAGTCAGCCGGGCTACCATACCAGGCCAACCCACCTACACATAATATTCTATTACATTTAAGCATCCCAGAGCGATAAAATGTATAAACAGTTCACTCATTACTTACCTTAAAATATTTGTAATCTTAATGTAGGGTCAGGAGTAAGTAAATGAGATAAAATGAATAAATGAGAGAGAGAAAGAATGAGTGCATGAGAGAGTACAGGCGCAGAGTTATGTAAACAAACCAGGCGAAGGTAAGTTTTGTAAACAAAGTGTACACGTCTGGTTTGTGTACAAGTTACATTGTGTACAGGTTGTCTCTACATTGATACGGTAGAATAAATAAAGAAGAACACTCCCATTCTCATGTAACATCATTTTGAGAAGAAATGATGCTCTGAGTGAAGGCAATGGAAATAAGTCACTCTGACTTTTTTGGGTTATCCTAGGTTCTCTACACATATGTTGTTATGTATGATAATCTATGTAACTGTATTTGTGTGTACCTGAATAAACTTACTTACTTACATACGAAAGGAATAATTTTCTACAGTTACCCCCAGGTATACACATTTTCTCTTATGTTAGATTAGAGAAAATGTTATTCTTGGCATCACTTGTACAAGTTATCTGGCTTCCACATCTCATATTTGTTTATTTATTCTATTGTAGGGTGTATTTATCATCTTTTTATGTTATGTATCGTGTTTATTATATAATTTTGAAAAAATATCATGGATGGATTAATGAAAATGTGTATATTAACGTAATATACAACATTTAATGAGACTCGGTGATTATTATTATTATTATCATTTCTAATATGGCGTCACTTGTGCAAGTCATCTGCTACCACATCTCATATTTATGTTTATTTATTCTATTGTGGGGTGTATTTATCATCTTTTTATGTTATGTATCATGTTTATTATATAATTTTGAAAAAATATCATAGATGGATTAATGAAAATGTGTATTTAACGTAATATACGACATTTAAATGAGACTCGATGATTATTATTATCATTACTAATGTGACGTCTGGAGACATAAGACACTCTTACTGATTTTAATGTGTACCTGCATGCCAGCACAGTATGTAAGTTTATTTAAGTACAGGTATACATAAGTATAATTATCAGAGTATATATAAAATAACTTTTAAAAACATTTGAAATTTTGGAGTTTCCAGACAAAATGGAGAGACTTAGTGCTTACTGAGCTCACGAAGAATGTAAACAAATAGGGTGGGGCACGGTGACCGTATTAGAAAGTCAGGTGGGGGGAGCTGTATAGCGAGTTTTGGTCATAATTTGAAATGACCGTATAAGCGGAACGCCGTAAAGTGAAACGCCGTAAAGCGGTGCCCTGCTGTATATACGTTTACGAGGTACCGTGTTTGACGTATATATACTCGTAAATTCTAGCGGCTTTAAATCAGGCAGGAGAAAGCTGGTAGGCCCACATGTGAGAGAATGGGTCTGTGTGGTCAGTGTGCACCATATAAAAAAAATCCTGGAGCACGCAGTGCATAATGAGAAAAAAAAAACTCCGACCGTTTTTTTTTTAATTAAAATGCCGACTTTGTGGTCTATTTTCGTATAGTATTTGTGGTTGTATTCTCGGTTTCTTGGTCTCATTTGATAGAATGGAAACTATATTATAGAAATAGAGGTAGTTTTGATTAATTTTACTATAAAAAGAACCTGGAAATGGAGCACCAAGTACGGGAAATGTTTGATTTTGCCAATGTTCAAAAGTAAACAAATGATGTCATTGTCCAATAAATGTCCAAATAGCCATTCTAATATGCAGTCATGAATGGGTTGATGTAATTTTTACAATTATTACAGTATTTCAGTAGTCTGCGTAACAGTAAATCTTCTATTTTTTGTTTGAATAAAATTTCAAAATAAAAAGCAAGAGTAAAAATCACAGGGGCCTGGAGACATGACTGATGAACAAAGAAAATGTTATTTTAGAGCCAGGAATGTCTGCATTGTTCATTCTGGTCCTTATTTTGAAATTGTCATTTTTTAATTTTCGTGAAATTGGCCAAATTGCAAATTTCTGACCATGTTATTGGGTAGTTGAAATCGGTAAATGGGCAGTTTCTTGTACTCAATGGATGGAAAAAATGGAGTACTGAAAAAATAGCTATGAGTTTGGTTGACTGGAATAATGGAATTAGCCGAAAATAGGGCTCAAAGTGGGCGAAATCGCCAATTTGTAAATATCGCCGAGGTCGCTAACTTCGCGAGAGCGTAATTCCATCAGTTTTCCATCAAATTTCGTTTTTTTGGTGTCTTTACAATCGGGAAAATATTCTCTATCATTTCATAAGAAAAAATAATTTTTTTTTTTTAAATTTTGCGACACCAGGAGACACCTCAGGATTGAGGGTTGCGACAGTCAAAGGGTTAAACGGTCCAAACAAATCGACGTTCAGATTCGTAGTGCTACAAAAGTAGATCTACGTTTTTTTACATAATTTCAAATGTAACAAAAAAAATGTAGATAAAAGTTTTTCTTACACGTTTTAAAATGTAAAACAAAAAAAAAAGATCTACATTTTTTTACATACTTTCAGATGTTGAAAAAAATGTATACAGTGGACCCCTGGTTAACGATATTTTTTCACTCCAGAAGTGTGTTCAGGTGCCAGTACTGACCGAATTTGTTCCCATAAGAAATATTGTGAAGCAGATTAGTCCATTTCAGACCCCCAAACATACATGTACAAACGCACTTACATAAATACACTTACATAATTGGTCGCATTCGGAGGTAATCGTTATGCGGGGGTCCACTGTATATACATTTGGACCATTTAAGGGTTAATGGCTGATGTAGGTATTCTTCTGACACTCCTGTGCTGCTTTTCTTGTTAAAATCATTATTTTTATTTTAAAAATATTGCATAAGACTACCTTCAGGCTATGTGTATAAGCTGCATTTTTTTTTTTTTTGACAAATCGGCCGTCTCCCACCGAGGCATATGAAATATATATGGATATGAAATATATATATGCATATGAAATATATATGGATTTTATGTATAGACTTGGGCCCCATCTCTAAGTCATCTCATTTTATTCTAAAATCAAAAAAAAAAAAAAATCAGAAATCAAATACACTTCCAGCCCCATGCACTTTGGATAAGGGATGCTCAACCTGTATTGTAAGATGGGAGGTGGCAAGATACTAAATATGAGCTTAGGTATGCAGATTGAGAAAGTGTTGAATGTAGATTATGAGCAAGCCTGAACTTTCATGTTTTGAATGACGAAGAATGTGATTGGACCAAGGGAAGAGTCAGATGTGAGTGCATTAGTAAGGAAGTTAAGCTATTTGATATTTGTTTCAGAATGAGTTGTATTGTTTACGCTGCCACGACAAAATGGGTATTCCTATCTGTGGTGCATGTCGTCGTCCCATAGAAGAGCGAGTGGTGACAGCCCTTGGTAAACATTGGCATGTGGAGCACTTTGTATGTGCCAAGTGTGAAAAGCCATTCATGGGGAATCGCCACTATGAAAGAAAAGGCATGGCATATTGTGAAACTCATTATCATGAGCTATTTGGAAATTTATGCTTTGTATGCAATGCAGTTATTTATGGAGATGGTAAGTGGTTTAAATATTAAGTATATCCAGTAGGAATAGCTTTGTTTTTTCATTGACTTAGGGAAAGAAGGAGATAGCTGTTGATTTTAAAGTTATTTCATACAAATTATTTGAGATGTATATTGGGCTAAGAGAGCCAGAATACCTCTCTTCTGTTCTGAATTCAAGTTAATGCAGAAAAGTCCTCGTATGTTAAGTCTCTTAAATCTCCTAATCACTTATCATAAAACATCTGAAATTTAGTGTCATATTTTTAGCTTTTATTCTTGCAGACCACACTGAGCCCAACTTAAAATCTTGCTCAAACTTGGTAGTTCAGCATTTGAGAGTTGTAGAAAAGCTGTACAATACAAGGTACCCTAAGTAACAGGGGCACTCTCCACAGATAGTTGAGGTAATCACCCACAAAGTTTGGTGGCTAATAAATCACAGTATCTTCATTGGAAATATGTATGGATTGGAATCAGAGGTTTTCCATATTATTTTTTTGAGGATTAACATGATACATAGTAGGCTTAACATAGTACATTATAAACTTTTCATTATTTTAAGTATACATTGTCTTAAATGTCCATTTAATATATTTGTATGATTGTATGTGAAGGTTGGTAGTTTAGGCCTGGGAAACATGCCCAAAATTCTCAACTTCCATGGACCTTGGAGGTCTACACCTTTCCTTGAATATATCTTTTGCATTTTTGTTTGACACTTCATATCTCATCCTTAAAAGTAGTGTAAGAAAATGTATCTTTTGTACAGTGTAGTTGATATTTTTCTTGTATTCCAAAGCTACCCTTCCTTATTTTAGAGTATTTTTTTTTCTTTCAGTGGTGATGGCCTTGAACAAAGCTTGGTGCATTCATCACTTTGCCTGTGCAGTTTGTGACATTAAAATGACACAGAAAACTAAGTTCTTTGAGTTTGACCAAAAACCAGTAAGTAATAGTTATACTTTTCATACGGTATTTCCACTACATAATTTTTGCATAAAATTTTCTCCTTTACCCTTATAGTAATTTATACAGAAGCAGTCACTAGCATTCTTCCGGCATTCATCTCGTTTTTACGACACACATGGGTTATGGAGAAGGAATTTTCACCCACTTCTCTATGGAGATGAAACACTATAAGAACAAGAACTGTTAAGAGATTAGAATAAAACCAAGATAAGTGTGAGTACACATACATGTACATGCACAATTACATGTATGAATTAGATGTATGTAGATGTAGCAGGATGTACCCGTCATTTTACGTGTTTATGACTCGGAAAGAAAAGACAACAGCAATCCTGCCATTGTGTAAAACAATTACAGGTTTCAGTTTCACACTCAGTTGGCAGAATGGTAGTACCTCCCTGGGTGGTTGCTGTCTACCATCCTACTATCTAATGAAGGGATTCAGGGAAACCAGTTAGCCAGACTGGAGTTCTGGAGGTGGAAAGTACAGTGTCAGCACTCTGAAGGAGGGGTGGGGATGTAGTTTGAAAGGTCATCTGAATTGTAATATCAGTGCACTTCTGGCAAGACAGTGATTGAGTGAGTGACAGTGAAAGTATTTTCTTCTTTGTCAGGCCACCTTATCTCAGTAGATATGTCTGGAGTGTTAAAAAAAGATGCATAGAAAACAGGATGGTAATTTTATTTAACTTGATCATTGTTTCATATCAAGTTATGTTACAAGTATTGTCTCATTTAAAGTACTGTATACATTAACAGTACTCTCAGGTAGAGAGAAGATTTCTCCATAATGACTAGTGATGATCCTTCAGTGCTACATATTCTAGATTTCCTTGTACCTGTCTGTACATTGTGAACCATCCATGACTTTTGAATGCACATGAAAGCATAATTATCCATAATTGTACATTATGCTGACACAGTCATTAGGCTACTATCCTGAAGAATCTTCTGGTACTTGACCACAAATACTCTCCCTGCAACACTGTATAACCCTTCCAGGTTAGTGCTTAGTCTGATTATACTTTATTACTATTGACAACTAGGCAACTGTATTCCACTGCTTAAGAAGCACTAAAAGGCCTACTACTGAACATCAGTCTTCAGGACATTGATTCAGTAGGTTGCATCAAGGATTTCCATTGAAAAAATCTTGGGAAAATTCCCTAAAAGTTTGCTGGTCATCAGCTCAACACAGCCAGGGTGCCATGAGTGCAATGAAGTGAACACTGTCAATATCTGTGGTTCAAGATTATTCAACCTTCTGCCGTGTAGATGTCTTTAAGAGGAAACTAGACTACTGTCAGTCATATCAGCCTGGCTGTGTAGACCAGTGGGTTGCCAACAGCAATGGCCTGGTTGATCAAACAATCAAAAGAAAGACTTTGTTCCAGGTTGGTCTGGAAGAATAGGAGAAGCTCTTGATATTGTTCACAGGTATATAGGTACATCACAAGTATGGCCAGAAGGCTTGCTATGGATTTGTCTTGGATGCAAATGTGAAGGTCTGAGCACTTTTTGTTGACAGTCCATATTACTGAGGGACTTTTATGGCCTTCTTAACAGTCAGACATTAAATGTAGACAAAAATGCCAATGCATATGGTGTCATTAGTGCACATACAGTCAACACCTCAATTTAACAAACTCTGGAAATGTGGAACAAAATCTTTTGATTGAGTTGGCTTAGAAACAGCTAAGTCTGTTTGTATGAAGTTTTGTAACTATCACAGCAAAACAGACCCAGCTCTATCCAATTGCTATTACTAGCCTCCAGTTCTTCTCTGTTGATCGATCATTGTGAGTTTACTGTTCTATATAGACATCCCATTTTAATACATGTTAATTTAAGCTACAAAACAAATTCTGGCCACAAAATAGAGCGAAACACCAACGTCAAAGACCTGGGAGTGATCATGTCGGAGGATCTCACCTTCAAGGACCATAACATTGTATCAATCGCATCTGCTAGAAAAATGACAGGGTGGATAATGAGAACCTTCAAAACTAGGGAGGCCAAGCCCATGATGACACTCTTCAGGTCACTTGTTCTATCTAGGCTGGAATATTGCTGCACACTAACAGCACCTTGCAAGGCAGGTGAAATTGCCGACCTAGAAAATGTACAGAGAACTTTCACGGCGCGCATAACGGAGATAAAACACCTCAATTACTGGGAGCGCTTGAGGTTCCTAAACCTGTATTCCCTGGAACGCAGGAGGGAGAGATACATGATTATATACACCTGGAAAATCCTAGAGGGACTAGTACCGAACTTGCACACGAAAATCACTCACTACGAAAGCAAAAGACTTGGCAGACGATGCACCATCCCCCAATGAAAAGCAGGTGTGTCACTAGCACGTTAAGAGACCATACAATAAGTGTCAGGGGCCCGAGACTGTTCAACTGCCTCCCAGCACACATAAGGGGGATTACCAACAGACCCCTGGCAGTCTTCAAGCTGGCACTGGACAAGCACCTAAAGTCAGTTCCTGATCAGCCGGGCTGTGGCTCGTACGTTGGTTTGCGTGCAGCCAGCAGCAACAGCCTGGTTGATCAGGCTCTGATCCACCAGGAGGCCTGGTGACAGACCGGGCCGCGGGGGCGTTGACCCCCGGAACTCTCTCCAGGTAAACAACTGGCATATTTGTATCTAGCCATACACGTGTATTGTACAATATACTATACATTAATACATTCAGTTTTAACTAACATACAGTGTTCCATTGATTTTGATGCTTAAGTTTTCATTTTTGTTTTACAGATATGCAAGAAGTGCTATGAGAAGTTCCCACAGGAGTTAAAGAAACGCCTCAAGAAACAACACGAGATCCAAGCCCGTGGTGGCAAACCATTACCATAAGTATCAATTTTTGAAGACTACTTGATGTTGAAATCTACCAGCTTTTCTTTGTATATCAGTGGTTAAATATACCAGCAAGTATGTGAATAAGACAATGTGCAGTTTATGACATTTATTGAGAAGTTTCATCCCCAAGGACTTTATTGGTGAAGTCTCCTGTATGCAAAACGTCTTCTCAATACATGCCATACACCACATGGTGTCCTGTTTGCATGTAGCTTTTTCTTGTAACAATAATAATGTAAATCGTATCTAATTCAAAATAACTTGCTTATTTGTCCCTAAATCATAGAATATTAAATTTCATATTCTTTTGCCCGAGGGATGCAAGTAACTTTGGGTTTAGATTACCAGGTTTGGTACATAAATAGATTAGTAAAATTTTAATTTACTTTTTTATTCACAAATATTTCTCATTGGTTGTTTGCTTTTGCTTGTAAAGTTATTATACAGAACTCATTAGCAGATATATTGTATATGCATGAACTGTGTGAAGACTCATTATACGCACAAGATGGCATCTTTAACCCTTAAACTGTCCAAACATAGATCTACGTTCACGTGCGTAGCGCTCTGAACGTACATCTATCCTTTTTTTTACATGCTTTCAAATGTAAAAAAAAAACGTAAATCTATGTTCGGAGCACTACGGACATGAACGTAGATCTACGTTTGGACAGTTTAAGGGTTAACAAAGGCAGACAAGTTACGGAAAATGCTTAGATTGGGGCATATATTTGCAGAGGTGAGGAACCTTTTTATGTTGAAGGCAGCAATAAAGTTAGCTGTGATGTAATAAGGCTGCATTCAAGAAATTTTGTTTATACTGCAAAATGTGCTATTTTGTAAAAAGTTAATTATTTTATAATAACTTCAAGAAAAACAATTCATTCATAAGGCTGCATTAATGCTTTAGAAGGCTGCAGGTTCCCCACCCCTGGTATAGAGCTTTATTATGTCTTGACTTGAACTCTACATAGAGTAAATATTGTTCTATTATGGGGTTGTTTTGCAGTTTGTCTGTTTTCATACTTTTTGGCCATGTACCATGTCATTCTAGGAGTCTCTAATGAATTATTTATGAAATGTTGGAGCTTAAGTGTTATGACCAGAAGTTTTTATGTATATTTTTAATATTTGGTGTCTTCTCACAGCACAGTAAGGTTGGCTTATTCAATCTTTATGCTCCATAATCTTTAGAAATGAGGTCCTTTGATGCTGGTAAAAGGTTCATGACCCAAGGACTTGAAGCTACCCTCTTCCTCACTGGATCTAACCTTATTTGGTGTTATATGACCCTTATGGGTTTAGCACTTCATCATGAATATAATGTGCCATAATAACATTGAAGATCTTTTTAATAAGGTGGTACTTCCATCCATGTCTTCCATCATCCATCTTTCTCATCATAACATGATCTATATTTTTACTTATTCTTGCAATCCTTTCAAGGAAGGCTGCCTTGATGCTAGTGGAAGGCTCTTGATCTTAGGAATTAGAGCTACCTTTCCCTGTCTTTGGATCACTCCTTGTGAAAGGCACAAATGTCATTACCTGTCTTGGATCAGAACTGATGACCTCCCATTTCTCAGTTGCTGTATGACCCCTATGGATTTAGTGCCTATTTTCTTATACTATAACCATAATTACTTCATATTTATTCATATTAAGCTTTCCAGAAGTGATAACACACACAGTGTTCGGATATCACATTCGGTTTTTCATTTTTCATTCTACATTAACTTGAAAAATTCACTTGTAATATCATGACATGTACACTGGATCTGTCCAGAACTCTTGCTTTGCTGTTATCAGGTCCCTACTTTAAACAAATAATGTACTGTATGAAACCCAATATTTTTATTGGGCATTCCTTCTAGAGAGAGACTTTTTGTGTCCCCTTCCCTCCCCTATTCATTTTTTTTTTTTTTTTTTTTTTTTTTTTTTTTTTTTTTTTTTTTCTTTGGTGGATTAAATACAACTTGAAAATGCTAGTAGGAATGTCAGTGTAATTTTTTTTCTTTGTTATATTACTATGAAATTTTGCTTAAATTTAGGAGGTCTTATTAACCCTTTGAGGGTTTTGGTCGTACTAGTACGTCTTACGCGTAGGGGTTTTTGACGTACTAGTACTCAAATTCTAGCGGCCTCAAATCTAGTGGGAGAAAGCTGGTAGGCCTTCATATGAAAGAATGGGTCTATGTGGTCAGTGTGCACAGTCTAAAAAAAAATCCTGCAGCACACAGTGCATAATGAGAAAAAAAAAACTTTGACCATTTTTTTAATAAATCAGCGACTTTGCAGTGTATTTTCGTATGGTATTTATTGTTGTATTCTAGTTTTCTTGGTCTCATTTTATAGAATGGAAGACATATTACAGAAATTGAGATGATTTTGACTGGTTTTACAATGAAAGGTGCCTTGAAATTGAGCTCAAAGTAGCAGATATGTTCGATTTTTACCAAACTTCAAAAGTAAACAAATCGTGCCAAGCGTGCAATACACGTCAACTGGTGAGTCTAATATTCTTTCACAAGTGCACAAATAATATTTATACCATTTTTTACACTAATGCAGTAGTCTGCATAACAGTAAATCTTATATTTTTTGTGAGAATAAAAATTCAAAGTGGAAAGCAAAAGAATATAAGAGGCGCCTTGAGACGTGACTAATGACTAGAGGAAATGTCATTTTAGTGCCAGGAATGTCTTTCTTGTTTATTCTGGACTCTATTCGGAAATTGGCATCTTTTGAAATTTGTGTGAAATTGGCAAAATTGCTAAATTCTGACCACTGTACTGGATAGTTGAATTTATAAATGGGTGGTTTCTTGCACCCATTCGATAGAAAAAAATGGAGTTCTAGCGAAATATTCATGTTTTTTGTCGACTAGTACAGTGAAATTGGCCGAAAATGGGGCTCAAAGTGGGCAAAATCGCCGATGCGTAAACATCGCCGAGACCACTAACTTTGCGAGAGCATAATTCCGTAAGTTTTCTATCAAATTTCAAACTTTTGGTGTCTTTATGATCGGGAAAAGATTCTCTATCTTTTCATAAGAGAAAATATTTTTTTTTTTAATTTGGCGACCCTGAGACGAGTTTCGGAGAGGGCCTGTCGACCCTCAAAGGGTTAATTGGTAAGGATTATTTTTATTATGGTCATGATAATGATCAGGATGATACACTGAAGATAGCATTAAATCTATTGTAGAAATCCTATTTTAAATAAACCGTTTTTATTTTAGTAACACTATTGCTTTTAGTTTTGGAAAACTTGCAGTGTTTAACAAATGCCCATTTTCTGTTTTCATTTGTTTTTTAAAGAAATAATGCAGGTATTTTTACACATCTTCCACTATGCTGTCATTCCTGTAGTTAATTCTAACAAGTTTACTCAAATTTGAGAAGGTACAAAAAAAATTAGAAAGTGTCATCTCTCTTCCCCATCCATTTTTTAATGAACAGTTATTTTTTAGTCATTCTTCCTAGCTTAATCCTTGAATTTATTGTGCAATCACAGCTCTTAGCTTTTATATTTTTCTCGTCTCATATTGTGGCCATCATATGAAAACTTCACATTTTAATATTGGTTTAATTTGTAAATTTTCTTTATTTATATAAATGATCTCTTAAAATTAGCTGTTGGAGTATATAATTTTTAAACATTTGAATTTATTTGATCTTTTAGTGTTGTGTATAATGCCAGTATCTCTTATCAGACATTCTTAAGTTTTATTTTCATGCTGGCCAACTCCCACCAAGGCAGGGTGACCTGAAAAAGAAACACTCATTACAGTTTATTATTTTCTTGGTACCTGTTGACACATTCATCCACTTTGAAATCCATCATCCATTATGTAGTTGTCCAAATTTGTAGGCTGTCTTTTTAATAGTTCATTATGCTTGCAATTATTGCATAATCCAGAAATATATTTATGTAATTGTTAATTTCTCTAGCAAATTACTTTAGGGAAGCCTTGTAATTCTGTGTGATCTAGTAGCTAAAGGGGACTGGTTGGTAATCCCATGCCACATTTTCTACTCCCAATATCTCCACTAAATATTGTCTATAAATTATCAGTACAAGCACCAATCCTTTTGCTACCCTACTGGTTGATGTTGATTGATTTTTCTTCCTAGCACTCTTGTGTTTCTTGCATAAAATGTTCTTATACATTTCCTTGTATTTTACTCATTTTGTTTATAATTTGTAGAGTAATCAGGTAGGAAGAATTAGCACAGTTTTTTTTTTTTAACTCTAACAGTTTATACACTCAGCATGTCTGTTCTTGTCCTAGCTTTGTGACTCTCATAACAGCTAAAAGTTTGACATACAGCATATGAGTTGGCTAACCTGAAACCTGTAGTATAGTGGTCACAGCAGCCAACTCATAACTGATTGATAGGACTTAGGCTTGAATCCTTGGTAAGACATACACACAAATCTCTCTACACCCACTGCCCCTGTTAACGTAGCAGTAAACAAGTTCCTGCATCTTGATAAAAACCTAGATTTAGCAGACTATTTTGGGCTGTAGCCTGGGATTGGTCTCAAGCGTGTTAGACCTCAGTAAGTCAAGGAGTTCCTGTTCTGTACACGGGTATACCATACCATAGTGTTCAACTATTATATTATTACTCTAGTATATGATTATCTTTTTTCTTTTCAAATGTTATACCTGTCACACTTGTTAGCAGGATTAATCTGTGGTTGAAGGTATCCTAGACTTTTTTTTTTTAATCAAGCTCCAGCTTAAGAATTTACATACCAATTTCTTGGCATCTGAATAATGTATAAACATCAGATAAAAATTGTATAAAAGTGGTATTGTACAAATACAGTAACCTTCAACCATGCATTTGGGGGACTTTCAGGTATCATGTTTCTTAGGACAGTTATGTAACTATAGGAAGGAACTGGGATATAGTACTGTACATCCCTTGGTTGTCTTCTAACTAGTGTCTCATTGTATATTTTATTAAGTTTTCTTTGCATTCTCTGATAACCAATTTTTTTTCCATGCCACTATTATTATAAAAATTCATGCTACTATATGCTACACATTTTGTAATCTATAATTGAACACATTCTAACACATTCACTAGTTTTTTTGTTTGCAATAAAATATATATTTAATATGAAAAGAGTATGACAAACATTTTATTTTAACATACAGGCCTTTTCCCACCAAGGTAGGGTGGCCCATCATTCACTCCATCACTGCCTTGCCAGAGGCACACTTACACTACAGTTATAAAACTGCAACATTAACACCTCTCCTTCAGAATGCAGGCACTGTACTTCCCATCTCCAGGACTCGAATCCGACCTGCCGGTTTCCTAGAATCCCTTCATAAATATTACCCTACTCACACTCCAACAGTATGTCAAGTCCTAAAAACAACTTGTTTCCATTCGCTCCTATCTAACACTCATGCATGCTTGCTGGAAGTCCAAGCCTCTCTCGCACAAAACAACCTTTACCCCCTCCCTCCAACCTATCTTAGGTTGACCTCTACCCTGCCTTCCCTCCACTACAGATTTATACACTCGAAGTCATTTTATTTTGTTCTACCCTCTCTACATGTCCTAACCACCTCAACCTCTCCTCAGCCCTTTGGATAATAGTTTTGGTAATCCCGCACCTCCTAATTTCCAAACTATGAATTCTGTGCATTATATTCACACTACACATTACCCTCAGACATGACATCACTACCTCCAGCCTTCTCCTTGTTGCAGCATTCACCACCCATGCTTTGCACCCATATAAGAGTGTTGTTATAACTGTACTCTCATACATTTACCTCTTTGCTTTCATAGACAAAGTTCTTTGTCTCCACAGACTCCTCAATGCACCACTCACCTATTTTTCCCTCATCAACTCTGTGATTCACCTCATCCTTCATAGACCCATCTGCTGAAATGTCCACTCCTAAATATCTGAATACATTCACCTCCTCCATACTCTCTCCCTCCAATCTGATATCCAATCTTTCGTTACCTAATTTTTTTTTTATCCTCATCACCTTGCTCTTTCCTGTATTCACTTTTAATTTTCTTCTTTTACATACCCTACCAAACTCATCCACCAACCTCTGCAACTTCTTTTCAGAATCTCCCAAAAGCACAGTGTCATCAGCAAAGAGCAACTGTGACAACTCCCACTTTGCGTTAGATTCTTTATCTTTTAACCCCACACCTCTTGCCAACAACCGAGCATTCACTTCTCTTACAACCCCATCTGTTACTTTAGTACATGTATATAATTTTCTTTCAGGTATTTCAGGATTTGAATCTGTGTAATGCAGAAAATCAAGAATCTCATGTTCAGACAGCAGTTAGATTTTTGAATTATTATTATAATCAAAAAGAAGCGCTAAGCCACAAGGGCTATACAGCTAGATTTTTGAAGATATAGTCCTCTACTGAAACAATGAATTTTTGTTTATACCTCTGTAAAAATTTACAAGGCTTGCTGTTCATTACTTAGTGTCATAGACCCTGTCCTGATGATACTGACTCAACCTTAGTAACACTGAATAGAAGGATCATTACTATACAAGTTAGTCCTTAGGCAAGTATTTTATTTCTTACATTATCATACAGTTTTAAGTGTAATCCAATGAAGTATTGGTGAATGCCATTAAGTGTTAACTCTCGCATAGTCTGTTATCGTTTGTCACTCTTGCTGCATACTTTTTCTTGCTTAAAAAAAAAAAAAATGTGAAATTAATGCAGAGGGTCTGATACTTAGTTCTTTGGTACTATACCTAACTTACCAGTGATATACTGAAGTCATACATTTAAAAAATTAATTAGGATAGTGAAATATAATAGTAAATACAGTGTATATAGTAGAAGCTAGTGGGATCTTTGTTTTTGTCAGATTTGAAAAGTTCTTCCTGCTAATATGTAGATCAGATATTAGACGTATATATTTTTAAATTTAAAATTCATTTAGTTTATATTTTACACTAAATCCTTGCATGCGAGTCAAGTAAAAAAAAAAATATTTACCATTGGCTGTTGTAGTAACTAAGAGAACATTAACTTCATTCATTTGGTGTACGTTTTAACCTTTTTTATTTTATGCTGTAGGAATTAGGTAAACAGCTGACTGTTGTACAGCAATTTAATGTCTTATAAAAAAATTTTTTTTAATAAGGAATTAAGTAGCACATTAGATGTACATGGCCTAGGTTTTGAGGGGCCAAGACTGTGCAAATTTATTAAGAAATTAATTTCAGATGACCCTTCTTTTCATCGACTCAAACTACTACCAGGAATCGAGTCTTAGTTGAACCCTGGAAATTTAAATATTTGTACATTACTATACAGTATATCCTCATTAACGACGCTTTAAGATAATTTTGACGAGTCATTATTAAATGAAGCTTTGCATTTTAACTCATTTTATGCTGGTGATTTGTAAAAAAATATCAAGTCTGTAGTTGACCAAGAATGCATTTTTTTGGTTTTAGTTAAATATCGCATAATCCCTTTCATACATATTAGTATGTAAAGCATGGCCTGTACTTGGAATATGATTTATTTTTGCTCGATTGTATTATATAATGTGTATCACTAATCTTTAATTATCATTATTTTGTGACGGACAGTAAGCTACATTTATCGTGTACATTTCTGTAATTAATCTTCATCACTAGGTATGAATGAAAAACATTTTCTGAAAACTATTTTCCCATGTCTAGTAGTACATGGAGGTGCCAATAGTAGTGTAGTTATAACAGTATTTAGTCTTAATATGTTTAAAGTGTTACTGATAGTTTTATAGCTTTGAATCTCTCACCAGTGCATTCTTGTCACAGCTGTATGCTGTGTATAATTTCTTTAAAGTTGAAATAGGTTAACTGTGTAAATGAAACATGCACTGTCCTTATTACTTGTTAATGTACTAATATGTGTTGTACTTGCATAATTGCTATAATGTATTGTTAGTAGGGATGACAAGTGGCTACTTGTTAGTTAGTTTCGTTCTCCCGTTTAATTGTATACTGCTGAGTG